CATGTCAGAGTCGAACTGACTAAAACCTCCTGTCGCTCAACAACCAGCGTCCAAACCTCGCATGAGACAGAACTCATGAAGAGGCAAAGGGGGGAAAGTGAAGCGTTTAGTGCGGAGCACATCTCTCCCATCACCCTCCCCCTCGGGACGCCGGACCGGCGGTCGTCGGCGCCAAGACCACCAGCCCTCTCGGTCGGCAGGCTATCCAAAGCCCGCCTAGATGGCGCCGGTTAGAGTGAGCTATCCTACGGAATACCCCGCTGGACCAGAACCAGCGTGGGTCGAGGATAGCCGGCCTTCCATCACCCAGATGCTCTTGCGTAAAACGCGTGCAGAGCAGCTTGCACGTCGTCTTCTTAGGCCCCCCTCGCCGGTCCCCAGACCGACATGTGAGGGGGGACCCGAAACACTTAGAGGGCCAGGGCTTGGGCGAAATCCGCCTCCCTGGCCCCCGCTCGACGGCGGCGGGATTGTGCGTCTCTCACGCGCCCCGCCGCCTCCTTCTGCGAGATGGTGCACTCGCAGAAGTCGAGCATCGCCTTACACGACTCGTCGTCGCCGAGCATCGATGCCACAACACTCGGCAACGACAAGTCGTTTCCTACTTTTGCGACGAGGACACGGCGCCACCCCTCCCATGCGGGGCAGGCGACGAGCGTATGCTCTGCCGTGTCCAAGTCGCAATCACAATGGTGGCACTCTGCCGTCGGCTCGGCTCTGATCCGGTGCAGGAACTCACCGAAGCAACCATGCCCAGTGAGCACCTGCGTGAGCCGGAAAGTGAGGCGTCCTCTGTCACGATTCACCCAATCCACAAGGACCGGGCGAATCGCCTCGACGGTCCTACGACCAGCCGAAGGATTGCAATAAGCCAGCCGTCTGGACCATGACTCCAACTACTATGGAGCCTAACGTAAACATAAGTGCGTCACTCACCTTGAGATATAAGTTCTAAGGTCTCAGTATAGTTACAACGGCTACCCCACCCTTCGAACCGTTGGTTTTTGGTTGGATGTTGGTACGTACCCGTGCGGACTTATAAGACGTCCTACCACCAGTAATTACGCAAATTATAATTTTGCGGGTTTGATTTTTACTACACGATGTTATTCCTTCACCGCGGAAGTCAATCGTGAGCATTTGTTAAGTACGTATTTCATTGGAAAAATTGGTACCCGCCTGCGGGATTCGAACACTGATGCATCGCTATATACGAATGCACCGGACGTCTTATCCTTTAGGCCACGACGACTTCACAAATTCGTATGTTGTCGTAACAATTATATGTCCATACATACCAAGCTAACAAAAGCGTATAAAGAACCTTATTTAATGCGTGATAGGTTCGAAGATTCAGACTCAGTTTATCTAACTAGAAATCCTTTTGTATCGGAAAACAATTGAAAATATGCTTCGTGCGTTTTATACGCTGTTTTCGTACAAATTGTACTAATCGCAGTTGGTGGCCAACGAAGTAGCATGATATGAATTATTTCCGCCCAAGCGAGCGATGTCGGATTACGTCAATCGGAACTACCCGTAGACATTAATGTAAAACAGATACAAGGAAACGAATTCTAAACGAGGTTTTGGACTGAAAAATTACGTTAAAGTCAAATGAATGACAGACAGATTAGAAGGTTGATCTGGAATGTTGAATTCGTTTGAATTGTAAATATTATTTTTGGTAACATTGAAAGGATGAAATGAAAGGCGAATGCATGCGACAGAGATGCGAATGTTGCGATGGATGTGTGGAGTAAAGAGAATAGATAGAATACGGAATGAATATGTTGAAGGAAGTCTGGAAGTGGCACCTGTGACAGAGAAGCTGAGAAGTGCGCGTTTGGGATGGTATGGACATGTGATGAGACGAAATGAAAATGAGGTTGGTAAGAGAATGTTAACTATGAATGTGGAAGGATATAGAGGAAGAGGTAGACTTAAGAAGAAATGGATGGATTGCGTGAAAGACGATATGGGTAGGAGTGAGCGAAGAAATGGTATATGATAGAAGAGTATGGAAGGAAAAAGCATGTTGCGCCGACCCCAGGTGACTGGGAGAAGGGCAGGATAATGATGATATGATGTTATACTATATTCAGGGTTTTGCTTGCTACAAATATAATTAAATCGGTATTCGAATGTAAAATTAACCGACACGTGATAAGCACCGATTTTTAGAATCGATTTTACCTGCTTGATTTACGATTAATTTTTAAGCGTTATTAAAACTACTTTTAGGGTTTATTCTCGCGGATAATCTATTGTCATTGTATTATGTTTGTAGTGTTCACTCTGTACACGTCATTAATGTTGTGAGCCGTCTGTGAGGTAGTGATGTTTTTTTATGATTGAAGGATGGCCTGGTGACCCTGGGGCCTTACCAGTTTCACCAGGACAAGTGGGCGAGCAAAGGCTCAGTCAGAAGAGGTGGGATTTGCTAACAGCCACCCGAGCGCCCCCGAAGGAGACCTAACAACTCAAGAGCAGTTGCTTCGCGAATGAATCTACTACCGGATCGGAATCGGGACCCGCTGAGAAGATCCGGCGAGAAACTCAGCGAGCTGCGTAGTGATGTCGCGACGGAACTCGTATTCCATCATTTCTAGTATTTTTATCGTGTCCATGTCCATGTAAGATACAAATGTAGTGCAAACAAAACACAAAGAGTTCTATATTTTAAAAATAATATTCATTTGATTACAGAATCGATTGCCAGTCACACACGTAAATTACATTACAGCTGGCCAGTAATGTAAAATGGCAACTTCATAGACAAAAAATACCTATTATAAATACCTATTATTTGTAAAGCTTCGAATGCTTTATATTTTTCGTGATCACCGACGACCTTTATTAGTCTACATTCATTTACTGTGCAAATTCTCTTATATGTCGCTAATAATAAAATTAAAATAATAAACGCGAGCTTCGAAAACCGTTAAAGTAATTTAAGTTATATTTAATTCATGAAAATTAAAGAAAAGCGCCCTAAATATTTAATTTTTCAGCCTCGTAATTTTATGTCTTTGTATTTATTTATCGGGAATGCTACCGCCTACGACTTTGAATTTATTTCATACCCTTATTCTCTCAGAATATTAATAAATATTTTTGTACGATTTACAATTTTTGGAAAACGTTTCTGAAACTCGAATTCGTAAATAAAACTTTGATAATTTCATTCGGCTCGGTTACATCGTAAACAAAATTAGCAGGGCACGTAAACAGATAAGTTAAACGAACTCTACCAATTGTATTGCGTCTAGCGGAGAAAATTAAAGGAATCTTCCTCATTTGCGAATCTAAAGAACTCAATGTGACGTATCAACTATGTTGTTTACGACAAGCTATGGCAAACAAGTTTATGGCAAACAAAATTTAATCTATTCTCAATTTGACCACAGACTAAGAAAAGTTTGACAGTAAGCAAATAGGATGCATGCGTGTGTGTGTAAAATACATGGTAGTGTGTAATGTTTTTTTTATTGTTTTAATTTATTTTTCATGCATAATTTAAAAAACCTACGTCCGCGCAATTTTCGTAAAAAGGGGTCCAAACTTTTTGCTTCACAATAATATTTTGTTTTTATTTCAGTCTCCTTTCATTATACAGGTGGTCCCGCAGTATTCGAAATTCGACTATAATTAATTGAAATGATAAGTTTGAACATTATTAAGATTCTATTATCAAAAATTATTATATTTTATTATTATTTATAGATTTCGCCTAGACTACACTTTAGACAAATATTAATAAAGGCAAACAAAATTTAATCTATTCTCAATTTGACCACAGACTAAGAAAAGTTTGACAGTAAGCAAATAGGATGCATGCGTGTGTGTGTAAAATACATGGTAGTGTGTAATGTTTTTTTTTTGTTTTAATTTATTTTTCATGCATAATTTAAAAAACCTCCGTCCGCGCAATTTTCGTAAAAAGGGGTCCAAACTTTTTGCTTCACGTATTAATATATAGATTACCACATATCCGATATCTCCACTGGTGTCCATTGATTACCGGAGCATGGGCATCACAACATAAAAGCTTCCACCCATTTTGAGGTCAAAAATTATAAAACAATTTTACCGTGTTAAAATTAAATAAAATCTTTAGCGAAACATTATTTTATAGGACTCTAAAATTAATAGATTCATATTTTATGACTAGTGCAATCTAAGTATGTTTTCTGTTTTAAAATTTTAATTCATTGTTTGAAGGGCGTTGGAGCCGACAGAAGTTCAGATTATAAGGTTCTTCAGGTTATAAGGTAAAAAAAATTACTTAATTGGAAAATTAACGACATCATCGACAGATAAATAGCAAAAAAAAGATCATTTAGCGACTATTAATGACCTTGAGTGTGTTCAATAATAATATTTTGGGAATGCTCACTTCTTATGTTCAATACCACAACCTAATACAAATATTAATAAAATCACTATTATAAATCTTGCAGTATGAGTAATTACGGTCGAATTTCGTTCGTTGGATGGACGCTAGTTTATTTTATTTATTTATTTATTACACATCATGTAAAATTTACATTGGCGGACTTAATGCCTAAGGCATTCTCTATTCTCTACCAGTCAACCAAAGGTAGTGCAGAGTGAATAGTTTACCCATGTTAGGGCGTATTGTGAGTCCAAAATCATAAGTTTCTGTACCAAGGATTACACAGCAGTTTAAATAGGCGTTTCTGTTCCAAGGACTATACAGCGGTTTAAATATAAATGATACTACGACATCACTTCATAAAGGATTCCGTGAAATGCAGTGCAGTAGTACACTACTATACTAACTACTACACTAGTAGCATTTAGTAGTAGACAGTACGAGTAGTATAGTAATATGCTACACTACAAATTTTGTTTTGTGACTCCGTATCAAGAAGCCATAGTTCTAATGCCATTAGTTACTATCACTGTTCACACGTGTCACAAGAGAAAGTCGGTACCAGTTTAGACTTTAAGCCTTCATTAGCATTGGCGCTTACCTGAGCACATTGTGATGAGCCAGCGCGGAGAGGGTGTGATGCGGAGAATTAGGGGGCAACACGGCCGGTATCACTGACTTCCCAGGACCTTGCAAAACTCTGATACCCATACGGACCGTGTTCCGCCGCGAAACTTTCTCATCAGGTCGCTCTGCTATTAAGAGAAAATGAAGACTTGTAATATTAACTAACAACCTTAAGCCGTCCGCAAATTATTCCTTTAATTCACTGACTCGTTATTTAAGCGGTATTTCTGAACAAAATTCTAGTTTTGATTTTGATTGGATGGGATGGGATTGGATGGAGTGGGATGAGATGGGATGGGACTCTCAACAAATGTATTTGTCTAAGTCGAACAATTTGTTACACTGCAAAATAATGTTGACAGAATTTTATCATTATCCTGTTGAGTTTAATGTACCATAAACAGTACAAGCCCATTTGCTCAGCGGCGTAGACTCGTAATAAAATTCCCTTTCATTCGTAAGCGTCAACGAATCGAGTCGTTGACCCTCCCCTATCATCGGGAGCCGGGACACGGGCAGAGAGTATAACTAAAAAATATTCGTAATTTCTACGAAATACGATAAATACGAAAAACTCAAGTTGTTCGACGAAATTCATGTTGATGACGTCATTAAAGTATGAAAGCTTGACTTTTTTTATTTTTTTACTAGCGACCCGCCCTCGCTTCGCTTCGGAAACTATAATTTATTATTGATTTCTGCACTATTTAATGAATGTTATTATACATATAAACCTTCCTCTTCAATCACTCTATCTATTATAAAAAACCGCATCAAAATCCGTTGCGTAGTTTTAAAGATTTAAGCATACATAGAGATATAGGGACAGAGAAAGCGACTTTGTTTTATACTGTGTAGTGATTTTTATTGTGAGATGTGTGGACGAGCTTACAGCCCACCTAATGTTAAGTGGTTACCGGAGCCCATAGACATCTACAACGTAGATTCGCCATTCACTTCGAGATATGAGCTCTAAGGTCTCAGTATAGTTACATCGGCTGCCCCTGCCCTTCAAACCGAAACGCATTACTGCTGCACAGTAGAAATAGGCAGGGTGGTGGTATCTACCCGTGCAGACTTACAAGAGGTCCTATCACCAGTAAAGCTCTTACCAACATATGCTCGAACGTCGTATGAGGTTCCGATAGGGGCGCCGTGGTACTGCTTGGCGGGTACAAGTTGGACGCTTGGCGGCGCCAGTGGAGTCAGCTCCAAGTGGAAAGGAAACGCGTTGGCTCCGAGGCGTTTTATTAATGCATCCTGTCAATTATATCAACCATATTTGAATATGCAATTTGGAAAGGGGCACATCTCTGAAAATGTAAAATGTTCAGGATTTAAAAAAAAAAATGTTTATTTTCTAAAGCAGTGTAAAATTTAAAATATTAACTTTTGAGATATATTTTAGTGTTAATTAGCAATTGAAAATTACTGAAATTATTATAAAATGGGTGTAGGTAAGCCTAAAAACTACATGTATATGAAAAAAACGTATTTGACAAAATATGCGACATGTGCCCTTTTCGAAATTGCATATTCATTTATTTTTATTGAATGAATGAATGAATGAATGATTTATTTTATTTTATTTCAGACAACAAGTCCATATGTGTACATAGTATCACTGAAACATACTTATAATTAACAAAACCAATCAAATAATAAATATACATTTATTAAAAATAATTATCTGTTGAATACATTTCAAATATTCCATTCAGCTGATACTTACTTCGAACTAACCATTATTATTATTATAATTATTTAGTCCGAAAGTGAACCATGGTACAAGTACCGACAGTCATAACGGTCTGCTAATGCCTTATTAATGAGTATCGGTTAATCTTGTTTATTTTGCGAAGTCTTCAATATTCCGAGACCCAAAAGTACACCAATATAAAATTAAATCTTTAAATGGAAAAAGTTTAACGGCGGTCTTATCGCTAAAAGCGATTTTTTCCAAACAATGATCAGGTGAACAAAAATAATTTCATGAGAGAAATTTAACGGCACTGTATTGACCAATTGAAAAAGGATATTAATATCAATCAAATCTTACAAAGACAACACTACTATCTTACGCAAAGAAGCAAATAAACAACTTTTAGATCAATGCAATATACAAAAGTTACACTGATCAGGCATTTTACCCTAATACAATTGATGAAATACAGATTGATCTTATTAGACTTAAATGTCGTAACTAAACTAAATTAGATTTTCATAAATGTGGGCATTGACTGAATTAATTCAAGACTATGGGGGCAGGTAATTACCAAACACTAAAACACTAGTGCAATAAATAATCTGAAAACATTTACACATAATGTTAAAATATCAAAATTTCACAGCTTGAAATTCAAGTTCGTCTGTCTCATTAAAATTAGTAGACTAATTAATTTCAGCAAATAATAATTATTGAAAATTAATTAGTACGTGTAACGTGTAGTGTTTCTCACACAATAACCTTATAGACATTAAACTATTTTAAATATCATAAATTAAAACAAATGTATTATATTAATTTATACTTTTTCTTTTAGTCGTACCTAAATATAATTGGGGATATGTGTTACATCCTTATTATTGTTAATGCCTATGTGAATACGCAAGAATATGCTGGAATAACATTATACAAAAACATTTTCTGCTTCCAAAATATGTCTGGAAGAGTCAATCTTGGTGTAAATAAATGAAAATATGACACGAGAAATGGAGAGAAGCATGATAGGGGTAAAGTGGGAGAATAAAATAAGGAACATTAATATTAGGAAAAAGCCCGAGATACAGGACGTAACCCTAAAAATAAAAAGGCTAAAATGGAAGTTTGCGGGACACATAGTTAGAGGAAAGAAAAAATGGAGCAAAATAACTGCACATTGGTACCCAAGGGAAGGCAAAAGGAAAAGAGGCAGACAAAAAAAAGATAGGACAGGATAGGAAGGATAGAGGTTGCAGATATAATATGGAGTAGAGTAGCCAAAGAGAGATCAGAATGGAGTAGGTTAGAGGAGGCCTTTCTCAAATGGCAAACGGACAAAAAAAAATAAAGAAGCACCAATTCGAGAAAAATTTTAATTTTGTAAAATGTAGTATTTTTTTATTTTTTTAATAATACCATTTTATAAAACACTATATAACAATAGATAGTCGGTTTTGTCTACGACACAAGCCACCAGTGGTTAGGACTCCAGAGTGAAAAGCCTCCTCACAATACGCGCAGTATCGAGGATAACTGCCTTCTTTATCAGGCCTTTAACCCACCCACCTGAATAACGAAAGTTTCTTATGGTGTTGATCGAAACTTTTCGCTATCAAACCGTGTACAGACAACTATTGGAACAATGATGGTTGAATCAATATGCCACATGGCGGTAATCTCGTCAGCCAGGTCTAAATATTTTATGAATTTTTCCTTTTCTTTCTCTCGTCATGAATGGTGATATCAACCAAAACTGCTCAACACGCAGACCGATCTATTATCACGATATCAGGCTTATTGGCAACAATATACCTATCCTTGATAATAGATCGGTCCCAGTAGAGCGTAACATAACTATTTTCAAGAACTGGTTGAAGTTGATATTGGTAATAAGGTACAGGAGAATCTATATTATAAATGGAAATAAATCACATTGTAACCTTCGCGCATAACTCCGAGGCTTATTTCGTCGTTCGACATTGAAATCACGGACACGAAATAACATTTCGTGAAAAGTAAAGCTTTACAAAAAATTTTAATGTCCAAATCGAATGTAAACAAAAAATCGTCTTCGTTCCTTAGAAGTGGGCTTCATTAATCGCAATAATAATATCGATTAAAACTTATAGAAAACTTAAAGTGTATTTATAGTAACTAGTCAAATTCAAATTCAAAATCATTTATTTCAACTTGTATGTCAGCATAACACACTTGTTGAATGTCAAACAACAGTGGTCCGCAATAGTGAAATTAGACTATAATTAATTGAAATTATAAGTTTGGACATTATGATGGTTCTATTGTCAAAGACTATACTTCTATAGTCACAGATTTAGCCAAGACTACACTAATTTTGACCACAGACTTTAAGCAATAACAAAAGTTTGACAATTAACAAAGAGTTTAAGTGTGTGTGTTAAATACATGGTAGTGTGTGTAATGCTCTCTTTTTTTATTTAATGTATTTTAAAATATATTAGCATTTTGCACTTCTTCCCTATATTCTCTATAAGTGTGGGAAATTTCATAATAATCCGTCCGCACAATTTTCGTAAAAAGGGGTACAAAGTTTTTGCTTCACGTATTTATATATAGATATGTAAAACGAACCTGTAATGGAGTGTTCGGCTCTCTCTCGTGAGAACAATGCACCGGCCAGACCTGTGCGAGACTCATGATAGCCTCGTTGCAGAACTTCAGACCCATAACCTCCTCATCTTCACGACCGTACCTGTGTGTGTCAATTAAAAAGAAGTAGGTATTTAAATTTCAGTTTCCACAGACGCTTTATCTTCTTCTTCTTTATCTTCACCTTATCCCACTAGGTGGGGTCGGCACAGCTAATTTTTCTCTTCCATTATAAATCAGCTGTCAGCTCAACACTCACTCCTCTCTCTTTCATTTCGTCATTCACTCACTCCATCAATGTCTTCTTCGGTCATCCTCTTCCCCTTCTACCTTGCACTACCATTTCCATACATCTTCTAGTTACATATATCTTCTCTCTACGCATTACCTCACGTGTTCATACCACGCTAACCGACCTCTCTTTAGTTTGTATTTGACGCTTTATATTTGACGTATATTGTTTGACGATTTGCTAAAATATTCAAATTACGTAAGATTAACGTTCATATTACGTATATGTTACGTAGCTAATAGCAGCTCGCAGCATTTTTTATTTATTTGAATGCTTAACAAACTTAACTTAGTACTCAACTTAACTAAAGTTAACACTAACAACTTTACTAACACCTACAGACCTACAACCGTAACACTTAGTATTAAACTTGTTACTAGAAGCCATAGAAATCGCATATAATGTTGGCTTAAGGAATATCACTGAAATTGAAAATTGAATCAGAAACAATTAAAATATTAATGTTTTTATTCCAGTAGGCTTTTACATGTGTTTTCTACGCGTAACTTTACTACGCAGATTAAAAATGCAGATTTATCAATAAAAAGTATAATATAATGTACACGGCATGAAACTTTGAGTAAATCCTTACTCATCCATATTGATTGGATTTGATTACCGCAAACTTTCTTAATATTATTATGACCCATTATGCCGACATTACACTAATTCTTTTTTACGAATTTAATTAAATTGATTCGATTTTTATGTAATAATGTTTCGTCGGTTTCGATCTAATCGGGTACAATGTCGTTATTATGATATCATTTTAAAAATACGAATATACATTATTATTTTTAGTTCAATTTCGTTGTCAATTATTATATTAAGCATAAAAATCGTGAGGTTTTCGAATAACACCCCCCAACAATACATTGAATTTTTGATTTGATTTGATTGATTTGATTTGAATCGTAATAAAGTACCAATTTTATTAATTTTATTGCTACTACGGAGATATTTGAGAATGGTGGTAGGACTTCTTGTGAGTCTGCGCGAGTGGTTACCGCCACCCTGCCTATTTCTGCCGTGAAGCAGTAATGCGTTTCGGTTTGAAGGGTGGGGCAGCCGTTGTAACTATATTTGAGACCTTAGAAATTAAATCACAAGATGGGTGGCGCATTTACGTTGTGGATGTCTATGGGCTCCAGTAACCACGTAACACCAGATGGGCTGTGAGCTCGTCCGCCCATCTAAGCAATAAAAAAAATGCGTGAATCGTGGATCCGAAGTTCTTGATGTGCTGATGATGAAGTTTGAAGGCTGAAATTATCATGTTGGGGTCAGCAGTGTGGAATGCTTAACGACGAAGGGAAGATCTTAAACCGAGATGATGATAATGCTCGGTAGAACGACGGTCCGTGTGTTGTTGTTCGGAACTTGTATATATGCAACCTTATCTTGAAATTGTCATAACAAGATTCAGGCATCTGTCAAATATTTGGTGGTCTGTGATGGCTACCTGTCAGCATTGCTCATGGATAACAACAATACTAGAGGCATGGCCAAGCCGCTGTCTACAGTTCGTGAAGAAGTCTTCTTTTTCTCCACCTTATCCCACTAGGTGGGGTCGGTACAGCTAATTTTTCTCTTCCATTCTCTTCTATCAGCCGTCATCTCAACACTCACTCCTCTCTCTCTCATATCGTTATTCACACACTCCATCCATGTCTTCTTCGGTCGACCTCTTCCCCCTCTACCTTGCACTACCATTTCCATACATCTCCTTCATCTCTTCCATACTTCGTGAAAAAGTAAGGCATTTAAAAAAATAGACGCATAGGAATTTTTCGGGCAAGTACATTACAAATTTTACGTAAACAGTTCCATTAAGGTTCAAGAAATGTTTCGCTGCCGCAAAACTAATAAAGAGCGAGGTCGATTTAATTAAGAGGTCACGGTGACCTTGGCACAACGAAGTTAAACTCGCTTTTAAGAAACGCTCAATCTCTTTGATTTGACTTTCGCTATCACAAAAGTAAAATCTTTTTTACGTAGGTGACGATGCAGTATTAAGAAAAACAGCGCATTAGATTGTATGATACAGAATCCCAAAATTACTCATGAGTATTATACAAGTAATTTTTTTATTGCTTAGATGGATAGACAAGCTCACGAGAATTCAAACTCATGTTTAACGATGAGTCGCAGTCATCCTTATGAAAAAATATGTGCTGATTGATGAATTACTGCAAATAGTACTCATGGTCTCATTGGAGAATAAAACCATCGATATTTTACTGAAAATGAATAAAACGGTTGAAGTAACTTCGAAAATGCACAATTCGGAACGGAATTCAATCATGTAAAAGTCTAGAGAAAACGTACAGCAAAAGTGTTTCAATGTGATTTTATAAATAAGAAATAACTCCGCAATCCAAGAACGTGAAATATTTTAGGGCCGCGCGAAATTAAACAGCGCCTTGTGCAAAATCTCACACCGAATGTCATTCTGGATCAGAGATTGACGATTTAAAACGTTTAATTAAAATCTAAAATTCATAACGCATTATACTTGAGACGTTCGGGATCTGTATCTTAAAAGACAATTTATGCAAATTGAATCGCGCAAATCCCGGATTCGTTATGGAATAATGAGAAATGTACGCCCCTAGATTCGGAAAACAGTAAAGGTATAAATCAAGACGCGTATTTCGGATATTCGAGAGATAATTTTTCATAAAGGCATTCTTTTTTTTTTGGCATTGTTGAAGTGATATGTATGATGAGTTTTTGTATTTATCTTGAGAAAACAATTTCATTTTTTGCAATCTTTTCATGGATAAAGTGGCCGGTGGTATTTTTACTGAGTATTGCGAGACTGCTGGATTACGTATTGTACGACAATAAAGACATTTACGATGAAGGAACACAATATAGGTAACTAGTCTGGCCATAAATACTGTTACATAAAAACTTTTCTTTTTTTCAACTTTGGAACACGATGCTATTTTAAAAACTTCTTTCGATTTAGCGTCATTTCACATAATTTTTCGTGTTCATTATCAAATTACAATTCGGAATGGGGTGTTAAAGAAAATAGGATTCCAGTGATCGCCTTTCACGAAATGGGTATGGAGCCGTCGGTCATGTTGCAGACACTTCAGAAGCTTGATATCAGCCGTATGTTCGTATATCGTACTATCAACAGATACAACAACACTTCGTCTGTCGAAGATCAGAAAAGATCAGGGCGGCCGCGTGCTGTTAGAATTACAAAGGCCGTTAATGCTGTTAAAGCCAGAATTCGTCGAAACCCCATTAGGAAGCAAAAAATCATATCGCGAGAAATTAAGATTCCCACTAGGACTCTGATACGTATTATAAAATAAGACCCGAAGCTCGGTGCTTAGCGTCGATATACAAGACATGCCTTAAATCCAATATTTACAATTAAACAGAGCGGATCGATTAAAACGCCTTCTGTCGCGATACGCAGGTGAAAGGCACAGAAATATCCTATTTACCGATTAAAAAAAAATTCAGTATTGAAGAACACTACAATAATAACTACTAATTTGACGAAGCATGTTGCGGATAATAACATGTACTTTCAGGTTAGGAATATTGTGTTCTTTTTTTTTATAATAAATAAATTTAATTATCATAAGCAAAATGATAAAGTGTACGCTCACAGTTTTAAAGAAGCTGCTCAAGTGGTCGGAAAGGTACAATGTGGTTATCATCCCGCGTCAGTGTTGGTTTGGTGGGGCGTGTCTTATCACGGAGTCACAAAACTACATTTTCGTGAAAAAGTAGTGAAAACTTCAGCCAAAGTGTATCAAAATACAGTCTTGGATTATGTTATGAAACCACTCAGCAATACACTTTTTAAAAATATACCGTGGACTTTCCAGCAGGACTCTGCACTTGGTCATAAGGTACGAACCACCTAAGTCTGGCTTGAAACCAACGTTCCGGACTTTATAAGAGCTGAAGACTAGTCCTCATCTAGCCCAGACCTCAACCCTTTAGACTTCAAATTATGGTCAGTTTTAGAGGACATGGTCTGCTCTAAGCGACACGGGGATATTGAGTCTTTTCAAAAATCTTTGAAGCAAGCAGTGCCAAAATTTCCCATGGAAACAGTGCGTGAGTCCATAGATTCGTGGCCAAACAGATTGAAGACCTGTATAAAAGCCAAAGGTGGCCCATTTCGAATGGAATATGTTTTTAAATTTTTTGCTGAGATCTTAATAAATATATAAGTATAAATATTAATAATATTACATTACTTCATTTAAAAAAAAAATGCATTTACATTTGTAACAGAACTTATGGCTGGACTAGGTTTTAAAACATAATAACATCGTATAATGAAAAATAAATCGGCTAATGATTATTTGCGTAATTACTGGTGGTAGTGTCTACTGTGGACCCAAAGGGTTGGTTCTTCAAATGCACCAAAACCGAGTTCACGTCTAAAGGGTCGCTCGACTTTACGTCCGAAGGGTGACGGAATCCAAAAGTTTCCAGTTAAAAATCAAAATACCTGAATGTCAAAGTGACTTGTCCATACAGTTTCTTGTTGTTCTCCAAGCAGTCAGCCTCCACGTGCAGCACCCCTTGAATCCTGTCGATGCTGCCGTTTTCAACCACCAAGTCCCTCGAAGCCAGGTACAAGGTCAATTTATTGTTGGGTGACGATTTCTTGAACACCCTGTGAGTAATAAAAGTTAGATTGACAACCCGTAAATGAGTTAGCAGTATATAATCAAACAATACTATAGATACAATGTAACTCTATACACTAGGATAGTTCTAAAATTTAAGATATGCTCGAGTGGATTTTAAACTTGTGGTAGGACCTATTGGAGGTCCGCACGGGTAGGTGCCATCACCCTTCTGCCGTGAATCAATAATGCGTTTCGGTTTGAAGAGTGGGCAGTTGTTGTAACTATACTGAGACCTTAGAACTCATATCTCAAGGTCGGTGGCAGCATTTACATTGTGGATATAGTTATAGATATAATATTTCCTGTTTCCGACGTGAAGCAGTAAGGCATTCCGGTTCGAAGATTGACTCATAATACAGTTGATATTTCAATATCTCAAGGTGAGTGACAACATTGAGATACTCCGGTAACCACTTAACACCAGGTGGGCTGTGAGCTCGTCCACCCATCTATGCAATAACAAATAAATAAAGCTTTTTTTATTAATACCACTACTAGTGCTATCAGCCTGTGACGTCCACTGCTGAATAATGCCCTCCCCTAAGGTTTTCCGTAATGACAAGTCACGCGCTACCCGCACCCAGCGGATTTCCGTGACCTTCAACAGGTCATCAGTCTACCCTGTGGGAGGCTATCGTTTTACCTGCAATTTTATTTGACCCCGTCCTAATTTGCGGGCCCTCTGATAAATGACTAAGAAAATCAAACCGCGAACCATCAATCTGGCTAATTGCCTTCGTAAATTTGGCCCCAAACTGAAGTTTGTATCACTTGGATATGTCTAGCCCTTCTACGGAACCGACCCTATATAAGGGTACGACCCAATGATTTAATGGCCCAAGCTCTAAGCCGGTGTGTGTTTGCTAAAATATCCTTGGAATTTTAAAATCATGATATCCTGTTCCCGAGTAATGGTCAATAACTTCACATATACCAGCCTTTTGAGTCTGGCAGACGAGTATACGGTCCAACTAATGGTAAGTAGCCACCGTTGCTCATAGACAGCAACAATGCTAAAGGCACAGTAAAACCACTGCCTACTGAGAATATGGTAGGTACATAGGAATTTTGCCGTGGAACTTTCTAGAGTTTTTTTTGCTGTCATCAGAATTATGTTACTTTCGACTTTGAGTTTGTCTTGAATGACGAATGCTACATTATTTCAGCCAGCTATTAATATGATATATAGTTAATTGGCATAGATGACCGTTCGTAGTAGTACTGTTTTTCTTATATGAGAGGTATCAACCATGCTTGGCTGGCCCGGATATATCTAGGTACAGTAAAAGCTCTTTATTTGCACGGTATATGTCCCGTAAATATGCCGCGAATACAAATACCATGAATTTGGAATGGTAATTTAGATATTTATGGAGGATACGGTCCTAGATGACCTTTATTTTTTTTGTTAAGTATTTTTCTTCCGTGTCTTTCAGTTTCATGGAGTGAAGTCTGTAATTCAGTAAAAAGAGAGTTTCGTTTGGTATAGATTATTAATACTCTACTCTGAAATGGCAGGAGTCAGTTAGTAATCGGAACTACTCGAAGCGAAACAGCGAACGGATCACCTGAAGCGAAGCGGAAGAAGTGAATTGAGAATTTTAAAGTGTTTGTGAAGTGCTAATACAGTGTTAACTTGTAATTCGGTAGAATTTTTATTTATCCCGAGCCCCAGCCTGTAACAGTTTAATCAAAAGCACATTTACGGATGAATTTAATCTTAATGTAGATTGTTAATAATCACAAAAACTGTGAAGTGTTTGGGAAATAATATTATATTTAAAAAAACGTAAGACTAAAAGTAATTTTAATTCTAGACTTTTGCCCAGTGGGTCACAGTGGACCTAGAATCGACCTAGTGGTCGCCATTAAGTCAGTTCTAGGGTCCAATAAATAAATAAATAAATAGGAGAATCGTGACGGTGAAATCTCTCGGTAAATTATGAGTGCTCATTGTTTCCATCAGTTGCTCATTATATTTGAGCTATTTTTTGACAATATTTGCGAAATAACACCTCAGCGATTTTTAGATGACTCTTGATATTTTACTTGCGGTGCTGTCCAAAGGAAAAATATGCCGTTGACAAATGGTGTCTATCATGGCGTTCAATATGTTAATTGTGTTAGGACTCGTTACAAGCGAAGGAAATACTTTAATAGATAAAGAGTATCAACATTTTAATTTTTTTTTCTTTAAACCATAGCACATGGTCACCATACACCATTCTGCCTAATAAAAATTAAAAAAATGAATAACAATTTAACGAAAAATTATCATTCTATGCCATTAAACTAATTTCAACAAACAAATAAATAATTCTGCTACATGAAAACATATCGAGATGATTAAAAACAGAACACGAATGAATAAAAGCACAACATTTACAATCGTTCTTAGGGATGCCAGCTCTAAATAAACACCAATACCAACACGTATCGGAATCCCGAGCAATATTGATTCCAGGATCGCTTCGCGTTGAATGCTTCCGAACACACCATTGTTGTCCAACGAACCAAAATTTTAGGTACACTGCTTTACTGAAATAGACCCTATTATTATGTCTTACCGTTGCGAATTCAATGCGTTGTCAGACGTCATGTCCAAAACGTTCCGTAACCTGCGAACAAGATAATAATACATTGTATCATTGTTTTCGAAAAAGCAGTTTCAAATTTGGAAATTGTTTTTGTTGTTTCCGAAGTGAATTTCTTTTTAAATTTCGAATTGTATTTCGAATTACATAGGCATTCGAATTTAAAAACTAAGAAAACGATTGGCAGTAAAAATTCAAGAAAAAAAAAATTAACATTGCAAACATGTTTTTATCATCTTCAATCCTGTTTGTCAAGTAATATCGTGGAAAAGTTTTGGGTTGAAAACATTCTCCGGATTTTTCATTTCAATGATCTTTCAGTCGCTAGTAAAATATTAAACGACCAAGCTGTTGCAGCGTGGTGTTTCAATTTGAAAACTTTAATAACAGAACGGGTTCAGCAACAAATAAAATAATAATTCGAATTTTATCTGTGCAAGATTTAATCTAAGACACAAGGAACATGTTCGAATGGCCGGAAAATGTGTAATTAAATTGAGACAGGCAAAATTAGTAAATTCGCAACTCTTCCTGGGATATATTTTAATCTCACAGCGTTATAGGCATTACCGTTATGCCTTATTCTGAGGCAAAGCATTTATTTGTTGCGGCATAAAGGGCGGATATTTCAGGTAATATGGAATTTGAGACGTTAACACTAGGCCTCAAGGTGGGTTTTGCCTTAATAAAACTATGGTCTTCTGGCTGACAGCGGGTCGTAAGAAAATGTTATTACTCACTGAATACATATCTTTTTATGCTTTACATCGTAGTACTTCAGCAAATTTACTAAGTAAAATGTAGATGGATCTCAATAAAACTATTCATGAATATGCGATACTGTAGTAATGTTTAAATATCAGTAGATTGTTATCCATATTAAGCGCGAAAAAGGTTCTTAATTTGACTGTATCTTCGATTCAACATACTCTGCTTTTGTAATGTTTGTCATGACCCAGTATCTACATAAAAGGTATGATGAAATGCAAGAAAAACGGCCTTTTGTAGCTCGCCTTAAAAAAACATGAAAGTAACAAAAAAAAGCGTTTGAAAAGGTGATACAATAAATTGTTGGGCCGCTAGACACGTAAAGGCTAGTGGTACAAAGGTCGGCTTTTTTCAGGTTAAAAGTTGCGACCCGGCTCGGCGTTTGGCGAAACACCTGCCGCGACCCAGTTTATTAAATATTTCACATCTAAGCTACCGTGCACACGGGGCACGGAAAACGCTGCTTTTTATTACTGAAATGGTTGGTTGTACTAGACCTTCAGCCACTTGCAGCTTACTGTTTTGGGTTTAATACTCTAAACTATGAATAGGTATTCTACAGCTATAGTGATCACGGACGACTAAGGTGAAATTTAAATACTGTGCTAACTCACACAAAACTCATAAAAGTCCTTAAAACCGTAGGTAAATTTAGTTTTAATTATGTCCAAGACCTTGGGTCTGATTTTTTTTTTTGAAAAACTGAAGAATTTTTTTTTATTGCCCTTGTAGACTGATGAGCGTACGGCCCACCTGATGGTGAGTGGTTACCGTCGCCCATGGACTTCAGCAATGTTATACCTACATGTTCACAAATAACTTACAACCTGATGAATAATTTTTGTTGAAATTATTGACTGTAGGAGGTATTGTGAGATTACAGGGGTTTTTACTGATGGCAGGACGTATTGTGAGTCGACACGGGAAGGTACCACCACCCTGCGTATTTCTGTCGTGAAGCAGTAATGCGTTTCGGTTTGATGGGTGGGATACTATACGGTTATACTATACTGAGACCTTAGGACTCATAGCTCCAGGTGGGTGGTGGTATTTACGTTGTAGATGTCTACGGTCCGGTAACCACTTAACACCAGGTGGGCCGTGAGCTAGTCGACCGTAAAACGTAAATTTAACAACATATCGACCAACTCTAAAATGAAACGTTATTTTTACAATAAGTCAAACAATATTAAAAACCAAAAAAAATATGCAATTCAAATGTTTCTGGATATAACGGTAACGAAATTCATTCAGCTTCTCTAATTTTAGAGTTTCCACTAAAATTAGTATCCGATATCGGAAGGCACATAGCGTTACAGCAACAAATCAATTTAGAAAACAAAATAAACGCGCGTCAATAAGCTCCAGTGCGAATAACTCGCCAACCACGTGTAGCTTGTAGCGTTAAATTTTCATTACGCGTCTTGCCTAACGTCCTTGCAAGTGATTCATGGCCTCAATGTTACTAAAATAACCACTTTCAAATCGACGATGAAGCGAAATTAAACACAATCATAGCGATAAGGAAGATGAAGTATATTTGTCGTGTCATTGATTCACAAAGGAAGGGACCTGTCAATGTATCAATCTGTCTTGTCATTATTAAAATAATTATTATCGAAATTTTATCTCACAATGGCTCTGTCTAAACCTTCGGTTTTGGTGTTTATTGCTGTTTTTCTACAGAATTACACAGGATGGTGTTATCTCCCCATTCAATTATTACACGCTTTTTTTACAGTAAAATTAATTTTTTCTTACACTATTTTTAATTCAAATATATTAAAATTTCTTTTCTATTTTTTAGTTGGATTTTCTATGAAAGCGTATTTTGTTAGTTTTTTTAAACTATTATTTATTATTTCAAATACCAAGCCCCTCAAAACACAACCTTATCACCCCAACAGGTATAAATATGGAATTCAAAATTAGAAATATATTCTTCAGTTTTTGCTAATAGAAATCACTAGGAGAAACAAGATGGCGAACCCAAATCGACGAGGGCATCGTAGGTAATATCTTGGAAGAAATTCTGGTTATTTATTCCAATTAAGGGTTACCGTCTAAAGAATAATACGAAATTCAATTCCTACGGTTTTCCCAGGGGCTTTCGAGCGGAAACGTGATTCTCACGAAAATGTTTCCTAACCGACTCGCAGCGGAAGTCAACATTTGAAGGCACCACGGAATGTCCATTTGGAAAACAGTAATAAACTTTGAACGCAATTTACTAGTGCGGTATAAGCATCGACATACAGAAGAACGATTAAAACAATACTTTGTTTTTTTTTCTCCTGTATTAATTTATTGTGCTGCTTGATTTAGTAGCGACTGATAATCGCCCTACCTAATAAACTCAGCCTAAACTATTGAACACCATTTCGTAGTGCAACACAGACAGAATACCCTTAAAAACCACTTGCTTGGAATCGATCTCCATTATTTATTTATTGCTTAGATGGGTGGACGAGCTCACAGCCCACCTGGTATTAAGTGGTTCGCGGAACCCATAGACATCTACAACGTAAATACCGCCATCTACCTTGAGATATGAGTTCTAAGGTCTCAGTATAGTTACAACGGCTACCCCAACCTTCAAACCGAAACGCATTACTGCTTCACGGTAGAAATAGGTAGGGTGATGGTACCTACCCGTGCGGACTTATAAGACGTCCTACCACCAGTGATTGTGAAAATTATAATTTTGCGGGTTTGATTTTTACTACTTGATGTGGTTCCTTCACCGTAGAAGTCATAGACATTAAGCCAGTGACGCCACAGACACAGTCAAGTTGCTGTTCATGATTTTTGAAGACTTGCTTCAAAAAGGACGTGGACTTCTGGAAAGACAATGGGAAACTCCTTTTAGAGACATCATATCTGGTGGAAATTCTGACTTAACTTACATTGTCGATCATCGTTTTCGGAGACAGATTACCGTTAGCAATGAAGCGATGATTAGATCACTTCGATTTATCAGAGCAAATATCAAACCGCAATTGAAAAAGAAAATGTCGAAGGTTTATTTCTCATGTCGTAATATGTCTGCACACATAACTATCACATCAACCAATTAATACATTAATTATCAACCAATATTAATAATTATAACTAATTATTAATTATCAGACTATCATCAGATACATATTTGATAACTTTAAATTGTTTTCCCTTGTAAGCGCTTCAGTAATATAACAAAAATCACATTTACATTCATCAGTATTTCATTTAATTAAAATATCTGCTCGAAAATATGACAAAGCACGGAAAAACTACGACTGTTAATTTGAAAGTTTGTTTTAGTTTCAATTTAAAAAAAAAACATGTTTTTGGGTTGATCTTGTTTTTAGTTGCGGTGGTGTGCACTGTCGGTCTGCCACAAGACTACTGAGACTTCGAACTTAAGTATCATGGTGGGGGGCGGCTCGTTGTGGGCTATGGTACCACCACAACACCAGATGGGCTTTCAGAGTTTCGCTCATAACTAGTAATAACAAATAAAACATCTTAAATATCATCACATCAGTCTACTAATACAATTTAGGTTTTATGAGGCAGATGTATACAAAGAACTTGCATAACAGGACACATTTTCACATGCATCAAAACATGCTTTACAAAGGACGATTTTTCTGTTTTCTGTTTTGAAAATTGTCTTCAATATATAAGGCTTTCAGAGCACGTGCTTGTTGCTTAAAATCGATTTACTCCGGCAACGTTTGTTCAAAACTCAAAGAGAAATAGCTCTGGCAAGAAAAAGGGACACAATAACAGCTCTATTTACGTTTGGTATCCATTTTAGATGGCCGATAATACGATTTCGTTCGAGAACCTACTACGGATCCGTTCGACATACGATCTGTACGTACTTACACTAGTGCTTACTCAGTGCTTCAGATCGCATTGCGTGAATATTCGATTGCTGATGTTCAACTTTGATGTTGAAAATCGATTTACTAAATGCTCTAAATTAATTTCACATTAGTGTTATTATTACGCGCTGGGGTTCGGGACAAATAAAAATTCTACCGAAGTACAAGTTAACACTCTATTAGCACCTAGAACACTTCACAAACACTATAAAATTCTCAATTCGCTTCTTCCGCTTCACTTCGAGTAGTTCCGATTACTGATTGACTGCGTGCCATCTCTGCAACGCTTTTATAGTCGAAACAAAATCCCTAGAATCGTCGAGAATATTTCACTCAAGTCGAATATTGTGTTTCCGCTATCTGACAATAGATGGCGTTGTACTT